AAAAATTTGCAGATATTTGTAAATATTCGAAAATGGTGGAATTAAAATTGAAATTTAAAGAAACGGCTACGATAATATTTAAATATTTTGTATAGAAGAAAAAGAGAAATGTATATTTCACATATTTCAATACAGTGGATATCTCTTTAAAAGTACGAAGAAGAATTTATTGATCTAGGTGACTAAAAAGATAAAGAACAAGAATCACAAATGCACATAAGGAAATAACTTAGCAAGTCAAATTGCAATTCTCTGAAAGATAAAAAAATATGATTTATCAAAATTCTCTTTGCATGTTCTTACGTGTATTAAATTTTAAGTAGTAAAAAGAAGAAATTCGAATATGAAGTTGATTTTAGTAGAATAAATGAAATACATATATTTATATATATTTTCTTTCTTTCCTGTAAACAGTTACTCAACAATGATTAGAAAACAATGTACGCATCTTTTTATTTATTTAAACGTTATCGTACATTTAACTCAAGAAACAAGGAGAAATAAATCGAGAAGAATATTTAGAGAGAAATTAAATAGTTCCAATTTTTATAACCAGAAAATTATAGAATAATATTTTTTTAAAAAATTCGAAAATTTATACTTGTTAACTTACTTTTAAAGATATATAGAATTTTTAATCATACCAAACATTCTATCATTTATTTTACACTATATATTTAAAAAATTATAGGAATCATAATTTTTGAAAAATTCGAAAATCCTCTTATTACTTTTAAATACATAAAACATGTAGGATGGTTAAAAATTTCTTTTTAATAATAAATTTTTGTTTATATAACGAGTGATTAGAAATAAATTTTAGCAATAACGAATATGAATACATGATATGACGTGGTAAAAATACTACTGCAAAAAGGAAACGTTATAAACGTTATAAACGTTGTACGTTGTATCGCTTCTTCAACATTTTCTCAGCCTATTTGCGAGCCACGCGCGACTCGTGAACGACTCGTTTCTCAATCGTACGTATATTTAAAGATACCATACACAAGACACATAATCGTGTAATCAAATCTCCACGTAACATAATGAATCTCCGATTATCGATGTATTCCCACCGTCAATATCGCGTTTCGTTGTGCAATCGATACGCGCATCTGATATATATAATGCAAGAATGATAGTTATATCCAAAATTTGGATTTTGAACAATTTCAGCCCGTGGATTGAAAAATTTTATTGAAATATACAATTATTTAATCAAATAGGAAAATTATGATAAAAAAGATGCGCGAAACTTTATATTTTCCAACTCAAGTTCAGGTATAATTTTAACTCTTAGTAAGCCAGTGTTTTTCTCGTGTATTTTCTATATAGGCAAGTTAGTTATCGTTTATAATTCAATTTACATTTTCTTAATGTTTCAAATTTAAAATATTTTTGGGCAAATAGTGAAATGTATAATTATTTAACCAAACAGGAAAATTATAGAAAAAAAAAGAAAATAAAAAAAGATGCACGAAACTTGGTAATTCAAG